AGGGATAATTACTGAGTTTTATCCTTAACTAGCAGCTTTATTTCCAGACTGCATTACCTGGACATTCTGGACAAGGGGCAGAATATGGGCACCCCTTCTAAGGGTGGGAACACCTTGTTTTATGAATGGTTCAGAAAAATGTGTGAATTATGCAAACCAGTAATAATCAACAACGAAAACCCAAGAATCAGGAAGAAAAGACCTTAAGACAGTCTCAGAAAATTCTTCGTGGTAGCAAATACACCAGTTCTGAAAGCCCACTTGCCTGAAAATATTCATAACCTTTTCTATCTCTCAATCCTTTTTTTGTGTGTAGTCTGCATCATTGTCTACATGGAGAAGTTTAAATAGCCTCTTTTCCTGAGCCAAAACCTGCACAACAATGAAAATCCTCTAAAACGCTAATCATATGGAAGAGGTGACAGAGGGTCTGCATTGTAAAGATGACACACTATGGATATAAAAAGTAAGAAAAAGCCTGAAAAGTTAAAACAAGATCTGGAATCCCTAGTTGGAATGAATGTTTTAAAGAGCTCATGTTTACTCTCTTGTTAAGCTAATATGTTTTCTTCTGCTAGACGTAGCAGAAACTGATAAGGTAACTTTTGTATTACTTTAACCTAATATAGAAACTTTAAAAAAAAACCCATACCACAATACCAAAACACCCTTGGAGAGGGTAGGCTGGCAATAAGGAACTAGATATTCATTAGAGACTCCATTTGTAACAGAGCTTTGTCTGTTTGCTCCCTCCTTCCAAGCCACTCTCCTATAGAACCCAGCTTCACAAGGAGGGTAAGAGGGAATAGGTTTCTTGATTCCCCAGTACTTCACTCTGGTTGTGCTATCTAAAATATGCCTTGGTTTAAAATCCTCTTCTTTCCATGGAGGCAGCTGCTTTTCTGCTAGTTATTTCATTTGTTCCTCTTATGGACTTTCAGAATATGACAAAAGAAATCAAGTTTCAAACACCTTGTACCACAGAAAGGCTTGGAAATCCTGAAACACACAGCAGCAAATAGCAAGACTGTTACGAACTTCAACAACCCAAGAGTTCATTGGTAGTCTCTTGTTACAATAAACACCTGAAGACTATAATTTCTGGATGCGTATCTTTCCCAGTTCCAATGTATGTTGTCATTCCTCCTGACAGTTGACATGTTCTGATACACCATTTCTTTCTAACACAAAGACAGCTCCTTTCTCTACACCTGGAAAATCTTTATCTTACTTCTTTCCTGTCCCATGCCCTCCTGCCAGCTCCATGGCAAAGATCCAACAGCAAAGGGTTTCATATCTCTCTTTTCAGACTGATGAGACTTTAGCGGTCTTTCATCACTCAACAAATGAAGAAAAGCTTTTTATGAAAGCTGAAATATCTATTTAAGATCACCTCCACAATGCAGATTTTTTTGTGTAATCATTAGTAATTTGTGTAATGCAGTGTTTCTTGCCATAAATAATCTGCCCTGCTACGCCAATAGACCACCTTTGTCAGACCATAAAAGATATTTAAAAAAAAAAATTAAAAAAAAACACCAAATAAAGAACCAAAAGCAAGACCATGGGGTAGAAGCTCCCCACTGAAAGCAGCATCTTCTTTCTTCTCTCAGAGGAAACAGAGAAAGGTTTCAGAGTATAGAGATATGCAAACTAATCCTGGTCTCAATGGTTTCAGGACCATTTCAGTGCTGTTCAAAATAGCTGCATTCTTCATAGCCACAGCCGGATGCAGAGCCAGCACAAAGATCTTTCTGACAGTTCATATTATCATGGACAAAATCAGTGCAGGTATCACTAAAGCGAAAGATATGGATGCACTCATAAAACTGCAAGCTTATACAAATAGCATCCATTTACTCACTGCGTTCAGAAACAGATTATTTAAAGAAATGGAGGGTAATGATAGCAAGACTTTAAAATGATAACTAAGCAGCACCTTGGCCTCAATGACAACACTAAATTACAGCAGAAATCATATAAAGGAAAAGGTGACCCACCTCTCCATTAATCATAGAATGGCAAAACCACAGAGGTTGGAAAGGATCTCCAGAAGTCATCTAGTTTGACCTTCTGCTCAAAGCGGGTCTGTTGGATCAGGCTACCCTAGTGGTGAATGATTAGCTTACTGGGGCACAATAGAAATTAGCGATAGCTAGACAAGTAAGGAGGTTAGTAGTTTGCTATAGAGTCAATTGTAGCAATATGGAGGAAAATGGAAAGGAAACTGAAAAACTGCTAAAAAAATGCATCAGACTATGGCTACAAATAGAAGTTGCAGGTGACTACACACCATGTATCTTGCTCCCATGTTGTCTTACAACATAGGTGACTGGAGGAGTTGCGCTAAGGGACATCTGCTACAGATCTTCACTTTCCTTCTTGCCTGTGGTCAATCAAAACTAAAAATACCCACAACTCCACTTCCAGGACTCACTCATGGCCAGATTCCTCATCCTGAGACTATAAGCCTCTCATAAGTACTTGTCACATATATATGACTCTTATGTTCCTGTTTCACGACCCCTAACACTAACAAAATGAATTATAACTGTTTTTTTGTAATTCAAAAGGTGACTCTTCAGTTTTATCCAGACCTTGAAAACAAGTCTATTTGTTTCTTTTGTCTATCATCAAGGTGGTTAGCAGAAATAACAAGAGCTCATAACATGTGGATTTCCTGGTATTTTTCATCTATAGCTTCTGGTATACCTTTACGTGTTTTTGCAAGAGAGAGAACACAGCCATTGCTTCTATAGTGCTTCCTGCTGCACCTGCAGTTGCTGACTTCGTACAAAACTCTCTTTTTTGCAAACGATGGCTGTATATGTAAATACAGGACCTTCAGTAATCAACTTTGGAATAGCGTTCAATAAAATCACTTACAAACAGCCCTGTTACACAAGTGAAGCCTCCTGATGTGCAATTGACCCCATGGTATATTAGAGGGTTGCAACTCCTGCTGCTCAAACAAAACTTATTTTTTCAGCACACTACTGCAGTTCATTGTTGTATTTTGTAAGTGGCTTATGTTGCTCTCTGGAATTAACAGAGGGATCACTTTGAGATCTTCAGGTGAAACATACTATAGAAGTACAAATAAACTACTAGCTTATTATTTCATGCAAAAGCTGCTGTATAGCTATACCTAGCCATTACGTCTACTTTCCATGCCTATCAGTATGCACTCAGAGACTGATAGATGATGGTTTTATAATTCTTAAACACTTTTTTGATATCCTAAACCTATAGAGCCTTCAGACATTTTGTTCAGGAGATTTGGAATATTTTGCTACTTGAAATAAAAAGAGCTACAATTGGCACGGTTTTAAATCCAAACATTTAAGGCATTGATTTTACTTAGTTTTTCTAAAGTAACTCCTTTAGGAAACTGAGTGCTACACTGCTAATTTTAACTTTATTCATTTTAAAGTGCTCAAGGATACTAGCACAAAGGACACTGTAAAAATTGCATTGTGCTGTATTAGGTTTGAATAGGATGAGTTATAGAACAGTTTGAGACTTTGAATTTGCAGAATTTACTTATTACAATGCTTATAATACTAAAGGTTTCTTATGTATGCATTTTATGTTTGGGATTTTTTTCTTAATCATCATGATTCCTAAAAAAATATCTACTGTGCATAGTCTGTCACTAAAGCTTTATAATATTTTATAGTGCAATACAGCTGCATGAAAATGTTTTCTAGATGTTGTTCACACCTACGTAAATATAATTTAAAATGCAAATGTTCATTGCATAAATTTTTCATGCAACAATTCTTTAAAATATTTCCAGTGTTGATTAATCTGCAATGGGATTTTTCTTTTGCAACGCAATATATATGCTCACCTCCTATAGATATGAGTACTGAAAGCAAAAATCTGAATATTACATAGTGAGAGTAAGTGGATGTGTAATCAGAGTAAACAATGAAAAATGAAATCATTTTTATGTCTTTTGAATTTTAAAACATTTTTATTCTAAGAGATTTGGACATTTTTGGTCTACTACAGCACAATTAAATGTACAATAAAAATGTAACAAACATTGTGTTCATTTTTGTTTGATAATTATAAAAATTATTCAGGACTATATAGTTGATTTCAGTAAAAATTGGTTCATATTACAATAATATTTGAAACAATAATATAGTTTTATAACTGTATTTTCTTATAAGTATTCTTTAAAACACTACATGTCAGAGTGTGAAAATGTGAAAGATATTGCAAGGATTCTGATTTTTCCTCTCTGTTTTCCAGTGATTTGCCTCAATCTCATGAGTAATCTAGCATTCACTGCAAGTGATAAATATCTAACACAAGCAGGCACAGAATTATTTTAAAAGCAATAAATAAAATTTGAAAAATACCATGAATTGAGAGGGAAAAACAATCAAAATTATTCAAAAAGGTAAACATTGGCTTTGGAAGAATAAATGGAACATTCCTTAACTGCTTTTTCAAGACCAGTGGAAAATATTCCTCACACACACAGTGGAGCTTTATTTTTCCCCTGCCTCTCAACAAGGTATAATTTGTGAAGGAGAAGCTGGTGTAGAGAAAAACAAGGTGGATGAACTTAAGCAACATTTTAATAGATATACTACCAAACTTCAGCAGGTCACTGGGGAGACTGATTGATGGAATGTATGTTATCACTAACATCAAAAAGAATAGATCTATCACAGAAAAGACACCCCAAACTATTTAAAAATTTAAAACATTATCTATTCCATTTTCATTCAAAGGCTTTTTGGAACAATTGTGTTTGGTTGCACACTTCTTTGACAATAGAAATTTCCCCACAAACCCTGCCTTCATGGTCAAAGTACTAGTTGGGCTTTTAGATTTCATGTATAACCACATTTGAGACGTGCTTCAGTTCTGTTAAAGATATATGTGCATTAGTGATTATAAGCCATCCTAGCTTTAAAGGAAGAGGACAATACTGCAGCCACCCCAAAGCAAAAAAAAAAAAAAAAATCATAGCAAAGTCAGGCAATAATATACATTTTTACTTTTGTGTCATCTATATTAAAATCCATGTTCAGCACAATAAAACACACACGGTACAATATTATGTTATCTGCCTGAGCCATATCTAAAAGAAATTGAAACCCATGGCCATCTTCTCATTGGCCTCCATATTTCTTGGAGTATGTCTTTTATATATTTCCAGTGTGTCCTTTGTTTTTATACTATAGATCCATTTTTTTCCTTCCTTGTTGAGCCTGGTGAAATTTGTGGTTTTATCATCACCCACTTCTTCAGTGCCAAAGTGCAGTAGGCACTTACTGAACAGAAAGTGCAGTGTTTCTCCTAAAGAAAGAGACCCGTTGACTTGAATAGCACAGGGCCTCTAAAAACTTCCAGTTTGCAGCACGTTTGTGGCAAAACATGGCCTGATTGATGTGCCAGGAAGAATGTAAGGCAGAAGTCAGCAGCAGGGAGGCAACACAAACCAGAAGTATCACCCAGTCATGTACGGGTATGTAGTAGCCACAACCTTCTGCTCTTCTGTGCTGAGAAGATAGGTAGACCAGACTTTCTGGAAGAGATAATAACTGCAAATTTGTTAAAATTCTGTGATAACCAGGAGGGGTAGTTAAGACCTGTGATGCGTTATACAGATTTAACTGTAAAATAGTCTGATTAATCTAAATTAACCTAACCTAATAAACTACCTGCTTTTCCAGCAGTGAAGTCTGAGTGGGTTAGAGAAGAAGAAAACTGTTTCATACTTCTTATAAACTGTACAATGGCTGCTCTTTTTATTTAGAAAATAGAAATTTACATACAAGTGGAAAGTGTTTCGCATCCCTTGGGAGAATAATTTTCATTAAAATACACTGAGTTTCCATTGAAAATTCAAAACTTTGTCTAGCAATCATGAAATGCGTTGCTTTTTCCATGAAAAGACATTTAAGTATATTAAATTTTATTATGAGTTGCTTTTCTTGAACAAAACATTTGTACAAAACAATCAATGTTTACAATAAAATCATTCATGTTGGCTGAATTTAGCATTTTTTAATATATGAATTAGGCTTGAAGTTTCATTTGTCATTTATTTTGAACTAGATTAAAACACATACCACTTTTACCCTTGGGATTAGGATACAATACTGTATCAGGATACTGTAACAAAAGCATTGAAATATATTTGTGGTCAGAATTACTCAGAAAATTTCTCCCATGGAATATTTCAAATAGGAAGTAAAATGTAAGAAATGGAAATATTTTCATTTGGAAATCCTGTCATAATATCTGACAAGAGCTGTGTTCCAAGTCTCCTTCACCAGGAATGCAGGGTTGCATGATCAAGATATTATACATCAAATAATAGCCTTTCTTAGTTAATCTGAGTAAAGAAAATCCCCAGAAGTTGCAATGTATCTGGGCAATCCAGCTACCCATTTCTTACTACAGAGACAGGAAAGATGACCTACTGCTCTTCTAATTTCCACAATAAAAGCACCAGAGTGGCAGCATTGCAGCTTTCTGGCATGTGGTTCAAGCACTGGTTTTAATAGAAAAAACAGATCTCTTCCATGAATAAAGAAATGGCTTTAGGTCACAAACTCAACTGGCCACTGAAAACAAAAACGAACAGTAAAACATAACTTCTCACACTCCTCTGACCCAAGACACTCTTCATAGTGAGAGCAGCAGTCCCATCCTCTAAAATAGGTTGCATATACTGCACCCAAAAGCACATATTTGTCTCCATGGACTCCCAAATATGTTGGGGTAGCTCATTCAGATATAGCTCTCCAATACTAGGTGGAATCAATGTCAACTCTGGTCTTCAGCCACACATTGTTCTAGTGGAAGGAAAGAAAAGAAAAGAAAGAAAAGAAAAGAAAAGAAAAGAAAAGAAAAGAAGAGAAAAGAAAAGAAAAGAAAAGAAAAGAAAAGAAAAGAAAAGAAAAGAAAAGAAAAGAAAAGAAAAGAAAAGAAAAGAAAAGAAAAGAAAAGAAAAGAAAAGAAAAGAAAAGAAAAGAAAAGAAAAGAAAAGAAAAGAAAGAAAGCCTTCCCTTTGGCTAGGAAGTTGCTTTTTCTCTCTCTTTTGTCCATACCTCCATGCTATTTCACAGAGTGATTGCTGGATCTCATTTAGGAGACTTTCACACCATTTTCTGAAGAGTGATGAAATGGAAATTTTCTGTCCTCTGTACTTCCATGCAGCTCCCACTGAATTTCAGCTATCAAAGCTAAACTTAAGTTTTTTTTAAAGAAAACAACACAACAATTTTGCTCTGAATAGGGTTTTTGATGCAATTTCCACTTTCAGCTCAGTGAAGTAAATAACAAAATTATGTATGTACTTTTTCATGTATTCCTGCAATTCTAATTAATTTAACTGAAATCATATGTGAAATTTCAAGAAATTTCAGCCTGTGGTCTGTATTCACTTCTCAAATAAAACACTTAAAATTTATATTGACTTCTTTGAAGTCAATGAAATTGATTCAGTGTAAATGACAACAAAGTCTACTTTATGACCGTAAAATTCTCCTAGTAGAAGGACTCCATCTGTAATTGTTCTTTAAGTCACATTACAGTGTAGGCAAAAAAATTTCTTGCAGAAACCCACTTTTGAGCTTTGTGGTTTTTTTAAATTGCAACCTTAGTGAAAGATTTTTTTCATATTTTCCCATCAAAACATGCATAAAAGAGATGAATGAATCAAACTTCACAAGTGTAAGTCAGCAATTATATTTTAAAACCTTTCAATATCACGAATCAGCTATTCTTACATCTATACAATGAAAAAATAATAGAAAATGGCAGCAAAGATCTGGAGAGATCTTTACCCCAAAGGTAAAGGGGTCAGCACTTGAGAGATTAACTAGAATACACAATATAGCTTTGTTTTTACCCACTACAATATGAAGTACTCAGAATATCCCATCTGCAATGTTTTCGGAAGTCCAGTCCGGGAGCCCAGATATATAAAGGCAAATGAAATAAGAGTTACCTAAATGTTTGTATGCTCAACTTCAGCGGGAAATTATTTATATTTGCACATAAGGCCTCACCTAATATCCACTAAAATCGATATGGATTACTTTACCATTAACTTTCATGGGCTTTAGAAGAATCCCTTATCCAACCCCTTACGTGGAATATTTATTTGCAAAATTTTAAACATACAATGTTTCCTACAAACATGACTACATAAAACTCATTCACTTAAAAGTTTGATCCATAAATGGGCACAAATCAGCATCAATGTTTGAAGAAAATTTCTTCAGCTAAATTGAAGCATCATTCTGAAGATCAGAACATATTAATCAGAACTATAGAATATAAGGATGTTTTCCCCCTCTTCTTGCATACTTTTGTTGCATATAACTTCATACACCTGAATAACTATCAGGTTCTTCATGCGGTTCTAATAACAGCTCTTAACAAGGCTACAAGGACAACTCACATGAAAAATTTAGATCTCTACAGAGAATCTTTAAAAAACACTAAAGCTTTTTTTACTTGTTTCTTGAACAACAGCCTTTTACCATTCTGAGTATTTGCTACACAATGGAGATGTTAATAGTCACCCTCAGACTGTACTTTACCTTTTACTGTAAACCTCTTAGGCAGTGCATTTACATTTCATGTCCTTCCACAGTGCAGTTCACTTGGAGACAAAAGCAAGAGGAATTTGTTTCAGTTGAGCTATTCCTTGTTAACAGACACTTTCCAGCTCACTTGCAGAAGTTGCCAAAAGGGAAATCAAGGATTAAGATTAGCTCTTTTTTTTTCCCCTAAGATTTGAAAGACCAGGAAGGTCATGGGGACTTTTTAAATTTATCTGTCATTGATTAAAGTGTCACTAAAGTATTTCGCAATTGATGGACTGTCAACAGTAGGACAGTCCTACACCTCAAATCTTCTAACTGTACAGTCTTTCAAGATGCCACCATTAGATCTTAAATTTCTCCTATTGGAAACTGCTTCCAAGGTTTACACTTTTCTAACCACTGCTATTGAATTTGTGTTGCTACAAGAAATAAAGACTAATTAAGTTAGTTAATTATGTTAGACTGGGCATTCTAGACACAGTACTTAAACTTTCAATTGTTTACATGCTGCTCAAATCAATTGTTATTATAGATGCGTATGACCAGGAAAAGTTTTATCCAAATATTTTAAAATATAGTGCTGAAAATAATAATGGCTTTTTTTTTTCTATGTTTTTGTACTCTCATATGTATCATAATGACTAAATTAAATATTACATAAAGACTTTAAAGATGATTACCACCTTGCAATACAGGTGCAAAATTGCTTTTAAGCAAAGGTGGACCTAGTCACTGATTCAAATCCTCACTATTAAGGAACCTATTGCATCAAGAACTTGTGATGAACTTTTTGGCTACCTCTTTACATTGCTGAAATGCTGGAAAGCATATAATAATTTTTTAATGCATCTTTCTACTCTGTTTGCAGCCCCTGCGCAAAATCTCATCACAGAGGAGCTGCTGATATTCATGGAGCCCAAGGATTCAATTATTTTTCTTGTTTTAAAATGGAGAAGTGAAGTAAATGTTCTCTCCAGCATAGACTTTGGCACTAGGTAAGCACAAAGTATCAACTCCTAGTGTGGTACTACAGCTGTTTTCACATTATATTCTCCAAATCTCAGAGTGTCCTGTTTCCAGGCCTTTTAGATTGCAAAGGGTGGTTCCTTGGCTAAAAGCTGTACCAAGGTCATAACTTAGAAAAGCACTTAGTATTTACCATGTTAAAGCATACCACATATTACTTGAATTTACATTAAAATTTTCAAGATTATTAAGCAACAACAGGAGCAGAACTAGAAGATTAGTTAAAGGTGAAGGACAGAACCCTCTTGGGCCTCTCTCGTGTTTTGTAGGGGAGAATGTAATAACTATTCGTTCTGTCCAGCATATGATTGCCAAATTCTTTTTTATAGAGTTAACTATTATGAACTAATTTTGGATACATCTGTGAATATGTAGATTTTTAAAATATATATATACAAATTGTATGTAATGTAATGGTGACAGTACTTGAAAAAAATAATAATGTATTCTTTGAAAAATATTGCAAGCAATTAATAGAGTATGTTTTCATAAGTTCTTCCAAGGTCTGGGACCAGATCATATAAGAAAGATTTCAGCAGTGGAAAATATTATCATTTGGCATATTTTATTTATCTTCCAAATTGGGATGTTGTTTTTTGTCTCTGGCAGAGGTCTGTACTGAGCACTACTGTCAACATTCCCACTAAGAAGAATACTACCAAAACAGATTTGGATTGTCTAAGACCTACACAGGGGACAAAGCTGCCTATGGGGGTCTTTACCTTAATACTGGCATTGGGCCTAAGCCTTGATTTAAGTTCCCAGGCAACAGATCTATTAAAGATATATTGCTAGGTTCACACTGCCCCTGAAAGCTTTATTAAATGATTATTTCACAGCATGGAGGGAAATCCATTGAAAATTAATATCCAGCATCAGCCAGTCATGGCTCAAAGCTGAGACATGCTCTTTGTGTCAAAAAAGTAGAATTTGCCAAATAAGAAAGTTCAAGTGAAATTCCTCTCATTAACTTTACTTTCCTAATTTGACTTCTCAGGCTATAATCAAGGAGGAGAAATGGACATTTCTAGAGTTGATGTCATCTTTCCTCTGTCTTAGGAGGCCAGTCTTGGGTAGGATACATTGCCCTCTGGACATGTCCCACTGCTTCTGAAGACCACAGAAGTGTCCCTTCTGCCTTGCCAGAGTGGCTGAAGTTAAAAAATATGAACCCCAGCTTGTGTGAAAAGAATAAGATTTGATGGATCCATCTGACCCATGGGATTCTGACAGAAACGAAAAAACATCTTAAAAATATACAGGATTTAGTCTGTTAGTTTATCCTTTCTGTAGAAAACAATTTGAGACAGCTAATACCAAGTAAAATCATGCCCACACATATTTCTTCAAAAGAATTGTCCAGAAACATTTAATTAGCTTCTACAGTGTTGCCACAGTCAGAATGTACATATTTTCTTGTATAAAAACACAATTACATGTTTTATGAAGGTGATTTTTTTAATCAACAGTTAAGACCTCTAAATAATTTAAAGATACAATTTAAAAGTTTGTCATTTTACATTATTACACTGTTAAGAAATGTAATAATTTGGATCACACAGTCCTAAAGTCATGAACAATTAAGTAAATGGGTAAGTTCTCATGCTGACTGCAATTAATTCGGAAGGTGAGGGATAAGAGCCCAGGCAGGCAGCTCCTACCCCTGTGAGCACCAGGTGGCAGTCCGGCTTTGACTGACAGGTCTTTATTTCCTCCTGCACTCCCCACACCAAAAGCTTTTCTTGTCACAGTACTTGTCTCGCTAGCCCCGTTCTGAAAGTCTTCTACACTTTTCTATCTGCTAAATAAATATATTCATCCTGGGGATTGATACTTTTTGCAGAGAATAAGATTAGTGTTTTTCATAAACACACTTAACACCTCAGTGACGCTAAAATGCCACAGAATTTCCCTCACACAAATCATGGTTTTACAAACTAAGCTCTGAATTTTGCTGGTAGACCAGACAGTACTAGCATGACCCAAAAGTTTAAACAACCTACAAAAGCATGTACAGGAAATATGAGGCATATAAATCTTTTATTTACTAGGTCACGATGTTTTTCACAGCACACATAACAAAGATTGGTCAAAAACTCTGCTACTCAAAATAAAAAACAAAAACAAAAATAACCCACAAACACCTAAAATCTTCACCGCTCCAAATTAACACTTAAAAAAATACTGCATAAGAGATAAGCATACGTTACAACACAGTACACATACATGTAAGTCAGGTTGAAATAGTGATGGTCAAAAAAGTCATGTTTTGGCTATGTAAGCTATTGCACCTTACGATCTGACAAGTTGAACTGATTTTATATACCTTTTTTTTGCTAACCTCTAGAAAAAAATATATTTTCTTATCTATTAAAAAAAACTTATATTACGATGTACACCAAATTTCTCAGACATTATGGATACTACCCTACTTTGTTACTCATTATTGCATCTTTTTGGTTAGTCTGGTGATCCATTTAATGATTGAATTTTGTTAGCAACGCAGGTGAAAACAACAAAAAAAATTGAAGGAACAGTAAAAATCTTATAACCTCCCACATAGTGAAAAACAACTTAATATCAGAAAAACAAGTTTTATTAACAAACAGAAATGTTTCACTGGAAATTTACTGCTAAATTCTATCTATATAAACATGCAAGTCATTCTTACCCATACGAGCATTTCTGATAAACCAAGAAGTCACTCTTCACCTTGCAAAACTGTGTTCACATGTGCAGGTAGCTCAAGTTTCTAAAAAGGCCCAATAGTAATAATATCGTAAGTAATTTATTTTTCATTTGTCCATTCGGTAATCTGTTATTTGAACCACACTGTGATCCCTGTCCTCATCTTTATGGAACCACTGAGGGAATTTCTTGCATCTTCTTCAGAGCATACCTGAACTATTTCTGAAGCTGAGAAGACTGCATTTTAATAAGAAATTTTGTTACCAAACATTGCTAAAAACAAAAAAATACATGAATTTATACCCTGTGACAGTGTACACGAAAGAGAAGCTACTGAAACTTGTGTGGTGGTTTGGTTGCTGGTTTTGGGGGTTTTCTTTTGTCAAAACGGTTTAACTGGTTTGGAGAGGTGTGACCATGTTTGTTGAATTATTAATTCTGTTACATTTTCAAAGGTTAAATTCAATAAGCAGCTATTATTCTAACAACTATTCACCAACAAACAACTCAAGCACTATTCAAATTGCAAAAAAGCAGAAAGCCTGTGGTTCTAATCTTGACCAGAGTACGGAAGAAGTTTACTACTCTTCTATCATACATACATTCATTTGGTTGCAGTGGATATATCATGAATATATCAAGAATTTTAACCTATGTTACTCATACACTTTTTCTAAATTCTTCTCCCCATAATTCTAAATTCTGTGAAATGTCATAATTCTTGTGAGATTCTGCCCATAGTGAGAATACAGAATACATTTATAAAAATTACATATAATTCATCTCACAAAGAAACAAATTGTTTCTTCCAGAGTGCTCTCATGTGATTATATTTACTTTAGGGAGGTTTAAAAATTATAGACTGAGGACAACTTTAGTATGTTTTATTCTCTCTTTAAAATTCACCTGTGGAAATTTCAATGTGCACAGACTATTCTCTTTTTTTTTTTTTAATGCTGTTGTGATAGCATGAAAGAGCTTTATAGCCT